TCCAGCCCGGCGCCCCCACCCCGCCCCGCTTGCTGTATTTAAATAGGCAACGGGATCCACACGGACACAATAATTTAGCTTGTCTTTGGCATTTTCTACAGGACCCCAAGAGATGGACTTTCCACTCTCCCTTTTCTCTCTAGAACTGGCATCTTTCATCTCTGTCTACACGGGCCCAGTTATACAGATCCTTGGGGTTCCAATAGGATCTGAGTCGCTGGGATCACGAACACCTGGCTGAAACATGCCATACAATTAGGATTTCTTCTTCTTTTTTTTCTTTCTTTCTTTTTTTTAATCTGTTCTTTCTTTTCCTTTTCTCCCCCTTTCTCTTAAAAAATCTTTTGTTTTAAATTTTATGTATTTGTCTATTTATCGGAGGGCTACAATTAACCTCCTCGACGGGGGCGGGGTAAGTGGGGGTGGGGGAAAGGCCCAGCTTTCAAACCCTTGCAGAAATCTCCAGGCTTCCCGCGCCCGCCGGCCTCGCTTCCTTTCCTTGGCCTTCGGCCTCCTCCTCCTCGGATCGTTTTTGGGTTTTTTTTTCCTCCCCCCACTGTCTCCTCTTCGGTTTAATTAAAGTTTAGCGACTCCACTTGCCTTTTCTCTCCTTTCTCTTCGGAAGCAGAAACCAGAGGGCCCAAGCGGCCTTGGGCCAAGCGGCCCCAGCACAATCCCGGCCTGCCGCCGGCAGGGCCTTCCCCTCGCCCGCCTCCCTCCACCGCGGATGGCCTCCTGGACTGGTCCCCAGCCCCTCCACCATCCCGCAGGTGTGCGGCCGCTGGCCTGGGGCATCTGAAGGACCGGGGCTGAGGCAGAGGTGTCTCCTCTTCCCCTAAACCCACCCCCAGACTTGCTCCAGAAAGTTTGGAGGGTGGGTACACCCTAACTCAGGCAACCCGCTCCCCCAAACCCATGGCTGACTAATATGATATGACAAAAGCCGGTGATGGATTTGGTATATGTTAATTCACAATGCCCTTTCCTCCAGAATTTAACTATAAGTTAATACACACCGGAAACCACGCGCATACACGCTCGTTAATGGGCTTAGGTATTAGCGAGTCCTAACGATGCATACAAATGTGCTCTGCGCTCTGTAGGCCCCTCAAGATTTATGGGCCTTGAGCTCTCTGAAGCTGTAAACAAGGAGAAAAAAAGAGAGAGAGAGAGAGAGAGGGAGACTGGGGGAAAGAGACAGAGGCCTGACTCACCCCTCCAGACTGTGGGAGAGAAGGGATCTCTGCAAGTGGATTCTTACGTATTTTGCTTTCCTTACCAGCTCGGTGTGCGTGGGTTTTGGCCTTGGGCTGGGGCTGGGGCGGTGGTAGCGTCTGGATGCTGGTGTGCGTGGGCAGCGCGCTCTGTGCGCGCGGGGGTGGGAGGATGCCTGCCGCCTCCGAACTGCTGTGCAGGGACCTGCGTGTAGCAGGCATCTGGGGGCACCTACCTGTGAGTGTGCACAGTGTGCTAGGGGTGTGTGTGTGTGTGTGTGTGTGTGCCTGCGTGCATGTGTGACAAGCAGCCCTCCCTCTGGGCCTGGCTGCTGGCCCCTGAACCCTGCGAACCAATCTCTAACAACAATCATAGTAACAATAAATAATAAAGAACAATAAAACAGTAGTTAACAGTCCCTCCCTAGCAGGATAACAATAAAATGCAAGAGGAGATATTCTGAGGAGGGGCCAGGGGTAGGAGTCAGGATCACAGCATCTGAGGGAAGACAAGGGAGGAAGGAAGGAAGTTAGCTTCTTCCTATGCCCCTGGGGGGCTGGGTTTGGGAACCCCCCTCTCCAGACAAGGTCCTCCGGCCAGAGGAGGATAGGGAGAGCCGGGAGGCCGCTCTTTCCTGCTTCTTTTTCTCCGGCTTTCGCTTTGTGCCATCGGGGAGGGATCCCACATATGGGGGTGATTAGTGGCTTTGGGGAGTCTCTGAAGCCCCTGTTTTAAAGAGGAGGGCAAGCAAACAGGGTCAGGCGGGGGGAGGGGGCAGAGATGGATGAGGCGATGGCCAGAGCCGGGGTCCTGGCCATTCGGGCAACACAGGTGCCCGGGAGGACGCAACGCCGGGTATGGACGGAAGCAGACAAACATTTATGGCTGCCCGAGAGAGGGGAGAGCAAGGCCGAGTTTCCGGTAGGCCCAGGGAAAGTTCCCTTCCTAGGGGATTTTCAAACACACAAACAAACAAAAACAACAAGGACAACAACAACAAAAAAAAAAAAAAAAAAGGAGAAGAAGAAGGGAGGGGTTGAGGCGCGCTGAATTTTCCTTCGCGGGCTTGGAGCGAGCAGATCGCCATAAAGGAAGAGAGGACCACGATCCCGGATCCTTCCACGTCCGCCTCATTCTCTCCAGGTACAATTTTCTGATAATCATATTAATGTATTTATTGTGGCGGGGGTGGGAGGAGAGGCAGATGTGTAGGGCTAGGACGCTCGCTGAAGAGAAAGCCGCCCCACAGTTTCGGGTCTAACGAAATACCCCCCTTTAAAAACAATTGTACCAAAAGAAAAAGAGAAGAAAGAAAGAAAGAAATCAAAGAGTAAAAATAAAAACACCAATTAGCCAACTTTTTAAAAGAAGAAAAGAAAAAAAAATGACCATAACAAACAAGCGTGAGAACTTTTAAAAGATTTAAGTCACAAACCTTTTCAGAGGTTTTGATTCTTTTTCAACAGCCGGTGACCCATCTGGTCTGAAAGGGACGGAGAACTACACTTTCCACTGAGTCACTTCTTTAAGACCGGTGCACACACAAAGATTCAAAAGGGAACCCCGGGCAGCCTTGCATTTGAACACCACACGAGGAAGGGGGAGCACTGTGATAACCAGTCGGACAAAATACTAATAAAATAAAATACACCCGGTCGGAGCGCTGCGCGCAGGGCGAGCGGCGAGAGCCCAGATCTCGGGTTCCAGGCGGCCGCCGTGCGAGGCAGCTGCCCCGGGCGATGGGGCGCCGGGCGGGCCGGCTCGGTCTCGGCCTCCCCAACCGGCCCGCAGGCCCCTTCTCCCGGGCCTCCGTGCCCCTCCTGCCTCGCCGCGCTCGGATGTCTGGCCGGGCTTCCCTGGTGCGAGGATTTGGGGCCTAAGGAGGGGCAAAGTGACTCAAGCCGGACTCTCCATTTTTCTCCCCTAGGCCTCTCCACTTGCGGGAGCTCTCAGCCACCCGGACACTGACACGGCGGGGGCTTGTGGACTGCCCCCCATCCACTCCATATGGTTTCCCAAAGCCTAGAGACCTCCAACCCTCCTGGGGGGGGGGGGAATATCCGTGCCCAGACACCTCTGCACCCTGTCATCTGTGAGCGTGCTCACTTCGGGAATATCTTGAAGAAGAAGAAGGCGGCAGGCCGGCTTAGAGCCGTGTTTACATCTAGTTCTACTGATCCGTTCACATCTGGAGACTTTATTTATAACCCCACTATAACTCTCTCTGTTTGGAGGCACGGGTGCTTCTATTGACAGACTGATGTCTAGAAAATATTGCTCTATCTCTAACCATACCTAAATATGCTGTGCTTGTATTTACAGATTTATGCTTGGGGAAAATATAATTATTTCCATTGTATTTGTGCATATACAATAGTTATAAAAGCAGATTTATATACGAGAAAATATACGACTCTCTTATAGCCATCCAGTTTTATGGACATTTGATATCCTGACAGATTTATAGCTCTGAGCAGCTATATAGATAAATGTCTATCGTTGGAATTATGTATCAGGAGATATATACTTATTGATTGTGATATAGAGTAGTTAGAACATTCACTTAGAGCCATATATGGCTATGGAGATATTTCTATATTATTATCACTATATATAGGCATATCTATTTATAACTACATAGTTATAAAAATACACATAAGTAATTATAGTCCTATGTGTACATGCTGCTATCTCTCTGTAGAGTTATAGACACTTGTGAATATAACTCTGTGGAGATATCTGTATGTATATAAGGGTGTAATTACCTCGTGATGTGTGTGTATTGGGGCTTAGGCCAGTCTATCTCTGTACAGACATATTTATACGTAGGGGCTGAGAGAGACGTGTTCACGGAAATATTTCCAGAGAACCAACTAGAAAGTGGGATCTGGCCATCTAGGAAATCAGCTAGCAGAGTTCTTTATTGGTGGAAGGATGGAGTTTACCAAAGGGTAAACAGAACACGGGAAGCCTCAAGGAGAGGAGGCGAATGGAATGTGCTCCGGGCGTGGCTGGAACAGACAGGCGGGAAAGGGGTAAGCACGGGGCACCCACCTGAAGATGGGGGACTGGTTTTGTGAGGGGCAGGTGTAGATAGTCACTGGGTCTTATGGAAGGGGAGGCGGTGAACAGTACTACAACCTGGAGCTCCACTCTAGCTCTCCCCTGAGGGAGCACCCCCTCAGTTGGGCTTCAGTGCACTAAAGGTCAGCGGCCATCTTGCCCCTTCCGCATTCTTGGCGCATTGCTCTTGGACCCTGGTTTCGGTAGGCTTCAGAGGTGAGGAGGTTTAGGGACAGGGCAGGGAGGGGGTGCACTTTCACTGGCGCAGCTCTCTGGCAATAGGGCCAGGAAAGCCAGGTAATGTGGCCAAATAAAGTTTGCTTTCACCTGGGCTGCCCGTGCCCCTCGGGGGCTCTGTGGTAGGAGCCTGGTGGATTGAGGGGTGAATTTTCAAGTGTTGGGCTTATTCTGATGGGAGCTTCATGAGGCCTTCCTCAACCCCCTTTCCTCGAGGCCCGAGGTCCGGGCCTCAGGCGCCTAATTTTGCTCCACTGGGCCACTCCTTCTCTGTTGCTCCCCAGCTTGGGGTTCCCTCCCCTCTGGGTACAGAAAGTTATACCCTCCAGCTCCCTAACAGCACTGCCCTGAGCCTTTATGGGAGAATTTGACTTTAATAAGTGGGGAACATGGATCAGCACCTCTAGATCTCATCCCCCCCCCCCCCCCCCACATCTACCTGGCTCTCCCACCAGCCTCCTTCCAGGCACCACTGCGCCCAGGCTCTGCAATTCTTCCCCTGCCACCAACCATCCCAGGAGAAAAGATATTTTTCTCCTGGCCCCAGTTTGTTTGTTTTAAAAACCAGGGAGTCACAGACCTCTTTGCTCAATGGTTTGTTTGCAGGGGTTTCCCTGCACTCCGTGTCAGTGGCCCGCCAGGCTTCCAAGATCTCTAGGATGCTGGGAAGGGAGTGAAGACCACTGGGCTGGGGTTAAATGCCAAGTGCCACCCTCCACACACCCCTGCCCATGGAATCGGAGCTTCTCCAGGACAGGGACTCGACTCTGCTGCCTGGCACAGAGGGGTAGCCTGATACATGCTTGTTGAGATAAACTGAATGGCGATCAAAGCAACAGCTTTTGGCGGAAGGCATCTCCCCTTCTGTGGCCACTGCTGCAGGCTAGCAAGCACCTGGGCGCCCTGGTGGGAGCCAGGCCGGGAGCCCATGGCAACTGGAGGCAGCAGGCTCTGGTGGCGCCAGTGGTTAGTGCCCAGCAGAGATGGGCCGGAGCTGAGATGGGGAGTGAGGGGCGGAATGGGGCACCAGAGCCAGGCTCTGCCTCCCCAGAGTGCCTCAGCCCCCCCACCCCAGCCTCCTGGCTCCCCAGACCCCCAAGTATATGAAAACTAAACCAGAGCCGGGCCCTGGGCTGGAAAGAAGCTGCCTGTCAGCCTGAGGGGCCCAAAGAGGAACCACCGCTTGGTCCATTAAGAAATACATAAATAACACAAAAATAAATCAGCATGAGACAGCCACCCTGGCAGAAGGAAGAGCCTTGTTATGCCTCAGCCGGGCTCCAGGGATACTACCAAGTGCATCAGAATGACTTAGGGTTCTAAGAAAATGTTTTAACTTTAAAAAGCTTACAAATTTCCTGATTCAGTAATATCTCTTTTTTTTTTTTTTTTTTTTTTTTATTCATGAGAGACAGAGCGAGAGAGAAAGGCAGAGGGAGAAGCAGGCTCCCAAGGAGCAGGGAGCCCGATGCGGGACTCGATCCCAGGACCCTGAGATCATGACCTGAGCCGAAGGCAGACGCTTAACCATCTGAGCCACCCAGGCGCCCAGTAATATCTCTTAATCAGGTTGTTTCATACAGTTCTTTTTAAAATTGTCATCATTCCCTGTAGATTTGGTCCCTGTAGAATAGGTCCCAGAGTTTGGGGACGGGTGGGTCACCAGCACCGAATGGGGTGAAATGGGCAGTTTCTCTATCTAGTGAGGGTCTTGGTCTGCAGGGAAGGCTTGGCCTCCCGTCTCCTGCCAGGCGTGGAGCAGGGAAGGCTCTCCCAGATTTGATTCCTTTTTTCCATAAGAGTCTTTAGGGGCAATCTGCCCTGTGTCTGGGTGATGATCCAAGGTCCAGAGAGGGGGCTAAGTTAAACCTAGAACCTCATTTCTAGTCCCCCCAAACTCTGACAGTTTCCTCCTGAGACACCCAGCCCTTCCCTCCCCAGGATATCTAATGCCCACAGAGATGATGGGTGCTTTCCCTAAAGAAGTGCTGAGAGGGAGAACCCTGGGGCCAGCATTTACATGTGTTCACCTAAGCGGGACTCTGGGCAGGTGTCTGGGCTCTGGCCAGGATAGGGGTAGGGTGAGAGTAGCTGCTATAAACCTCAGAAACTGTAGGTTCAGATAATGATTGTCCTTAGCCAAAAGACAGAAAATGGAGAAACCCTGACCATACGTCATTGATCCTAAAGAGTCCTGGGTCCCTTTATCTGAGCTGTAATGGCTCTTAGCTGTTTCTGGGTCCCAAACCCCCTTTGAGAAGCAGACAAAAACAATCTGCCCTCTCCCCAGCAAAACGTACACACACACAGCGTTGTTGACGGGTGCTGCTGGGATGATACAGGGCCCAGGAAGCCTGAGACCTCTGGGTTGAGTACCCCTAATTTGGATATTTCCCCCTTCTTTCTGTGACCCATCTCCAGTGGTCTCCCTTTGCTTTGGCCCTCCCTGAGTGCCTTTGCTTAGGGGATCAGGCAGTTCGCTGTCCTTCTCCTTTCCTTTACTAGAGCAGGCACCAGGCAGAGGCCTTGCTTGGGCTGAGCCCCTGATCTGCTCTCCTGCAGAAACCAGGAGAGTGTCAGTTCACTGAAGCCTGGTCTACACTGCCCTGCTACTCCACCAATCTCTGGGGGTGGGGGGAGACTGGGAGCATATTGGCAGCACACAGGCCTGGCTGTAGGGGGACCAGTTCCCATCTCTAGTGGAAACTTGGATGCAAGGAGCAAGTTGCAATTGCTATAATAATAGTCATAATAATAACAATAATAATTTATTTAGCATATCATTAGATGTGTATTTACTGTCTTCCCTCTGCTTTTTTCCAAGTGTCTCCTAAGGAATTCTC